CAACTTCCGACTCCGGGGTTGGTTCCACTTGCTTGAGTTTGAAACACGCTAAAACAAGGCAAAACCTAGCGTAAAACCAAACCTCTCAGAGTGCAAATGCTTCAAACGCCTAAGAAAAACGGGGATAAAAAGTGTACAATTAGTCGAGAATCACGAATACTTAAGAGGGTTCATATAATCATCACCGAAAAGCTCACAAGTGGTCCTACTGCCATGGAGTGTCCACGGGCCATTGCATGGGCGTTTTGCTTCCTGTGATTGCCTCACCGCAAAAATTTCTTCATTTTGTTCCTAAAGTCTTTGATGTTTTGGCCTTTTCTCCCTTGTCTGAACTCTGAATCAATCCTCGTTTGATCCAAGATGCTTGGAATCTCGTCCTCTTTCACGACATGATGAGCTTCCATGATGACTTGGCCATATAATGAGGTATAACTTTATTATGTCATTCTTTATTGTATTTCTTATATGAATATCGTCAAATTCAGTTCCAATGACCTTCAACACACTAAAGCAACAAACCAAGAATAAAACTTGCAAAAACATAGAAATATTGATGGAACGACCAAGCAAAGGATATTAAAAGGGGTATAAAAACATGTATAATTTACATGTTATCAACTACTGTAACTCTTGCAATTCGTTTGGAATTGACATGATCCACTACAGGAAACAAATGGAGTGTCCTATGGTGATGAGTGGTTTATGGAAGGATCAATGCTCAAGGTTGTATGATAGCATAAAGAAGGGGTGTTAGTTGCTTCCATCATATGTGATTTGCATGGGGATCAAAGAGCTAAATGAAGTACTATAAGTTGATCCTAATAACTCCATTGTTAATTTGATTTCTTAAATTTGTATAGAAAATAGGCAAGATCAGTAGTATTTATAATTTATTTGCCAGGGATTAAAGAGCTAAAGGAAGGACTATCTCAAGTCTAAACAAACGCACTATGGTACATAGGACTGCAAATGAGTTGAGCTGTTCACGAGTGACTCGATGTTCGACTTGGTAAAAACTCGATCGTTCGAAATTCAACTGGTTTACTAATGCGCCAAGTTTGAGCTAAGCCTTGCTGACCTCGCGAGCCAATTTGACTCGGTGACGTGTTGGGCTCAACACTCATGAGTTAACTCAATTTGAGCTAATGAGATGTCGTAATATTGTGGCTAGAAAGCCAAATCGACTACCGGCTTCTAAGCGAATCGGCCTATATTTTATGAGTTGCCTTGTTGACAATTCATATGATTGTTAATTATGTATTTCATCCCATATGTTTAAGACTTCGAGTATGTGAGAAAACAAATCTCAATTATAATTTAAAAGAAAATTTATGTATTTATAGATTGTTTACATATTAATTATAAATATATGATCGAAACTCGAGTGAAAATTGTGTGAGCTCATTAATCAACCCAGTTCGAAACCCAAACTAAAGGATTGAAAATAGTCACAGCGGCGATACCCTCGCAGAGGTCCACAACCTAATTGTCTTTTATCCAAAGACACCCAAACTACCGTCCTTGAAGAAACTTGCTTGTACCAAATCCCTACGTCGGAATTTTCTGATTTCCCATACTTGAAGAAACCCAATTAAAAACTTCCCCTGCCGAGGCGATGGTGTGGTTTCCGGAAAGTGCACGGGTTGGAGTGATTCGATCTCGCTGGAGGGGATGCTTTGCTTTGATAGGGCCTTCGATAGCAACGACACCCATCTTGTGAACTCTAACATTTAGAGGTTACCGTCATGGTAAAGGGACGTTAGGATTGAGCGTGAATATGCACATCTTTTGCATCAAATGGTCCTGACCCCACTGGTCGAGAGTGAGTGATTCACTTATCATGTTTTGTTCATTTCTTATACCCCGATGAGGACCTAGGTTGCTTGATCGTTTGTTCATGTGATGTGATCTTCATGCATGAGTAACTGTGATTGGTGAGTCGTCGAGGCATGTTGTGTGTTGCTTGACGAATAATGTGAGAACTCTTCTTTTGCACAATCTTTATACAGTTAAATGTCGTTTGTGGTGGTTGCCAAGATTACTTTGTTTTTGTTAGGGTTGTTCAAATGGATTGGTTACCGTGATAACCATATAAACCGGTAGCATTCGGTTAATTTGGATAATTGGTCTTATTTGATACATCTACTAATTAACCAATTAATGTTTGGTTAAACAATTTAGCTTATTTGATTTAGGTGGTTTGGTGTGGTTTCAACACTGCTAACCAATGAAACCAATTAACCAATTAATGATACATCTACTATACAAAATTATTTATACTTCCATGCAACCAACCAAACCAAACTTTCGTGATTCCCTATACTTAAATGGGCCTGCCTATTTACTAAATCAAAACATTTTGGACAACTACTAGACTTTAGAATTACGTACAATAAAATGACAGTCACCTCAAACTATGTATAGTTTAAGTGTTTTGTAGGAGAGCTTTAACTTCCTCATGAGTGGTATTGGTATGTATTTAATATTTATGTTAAGGGTTTGTTGTAAGCTAACTATATTAGTTGCAGAGATGATAAATGATGTATTAACTCGAATTATGATGATAATCATGAATGGTTTGTCTTATTATCATTGCTTATATATAATAATAGTTTATGATAGTAATAACATATGGTTATGTTTTATTCATTAACAGGATAATTGTTTTCATGTAATGTTATGTTATTTGGTTAATCCAATTATCCGATTAATTGGTTTGGTTAATTTGGTTTTCGTGTTAATTTGGACGGTTTGCTTAAGACATTTTATTCCATGGTTAATGAAATTTAGACTTAATTGGTTTGGTTATTACCACGGTAACCATTTGAACACCCCTAGTTTTTGTCCATAGGTCGGTGTCAAATAACCATTGTGATTCATTCGTTTTGTGCCCTATGACATGCCTCAAAAATTTTGTTGAAAAAGAGAAGTTACAAACTTACCTTGTTCTGTACTTGGTTTGCTTGGGGATAAGCAAACTTTCAAGTGTGGGGGAGTGATTCGGGTCCAATTGTACACATTTTGCCCGTCATTTCTTGATAGTTTGACTTTGCATTTCATCGTTCCTCGACATATTTCACGCTAGGTTGTGCTTGTTTTGATACATTTCAGGTCCTAGCACGTGTGGAAGGCTCGAGGACAAGTTTCGGAATAATTGGAGGTCAAAAAGCGCAAAAAAAACCGAATATAAGTGCAATCGTCCAGGAAGCAGCCGCAGTTCACGGCCTGACATTGGAGTTCACAGTCTCTAAGGCCGTGAACTGGAACCACAAACCGTGAACATCGAGGCGTCCAACGAGGTTACAGAAGTTACTGACGCCAAGGGATTTCACGGTCTCTAAGACCGTGAACTTGGAGCACAAACCATGAACCCAGGAGAGTGAAGCGATGTGTTTTGGAGACGACACTGAGTTCACGGACGCGTTTAGGTGTTCACGACCGTGACCTAGCCAATGCGGCCGTGAACTGGTCACTTTCGGACAAATATGAAGACATCAGTGGGAAGAGAGAAAGGCGAGCTGGTTTTTGGAGAAGGAACACTTTCTTTCTCTGGGGTTTCAACTCAAAACACCAAAGGGGAGTTCTAGTGAGAGAGAGAGAGTGGTCTTGGAGTTTAATTGAAGGTATTGATCAAACTTGGAAGCTAGGAATCAAGCCTAGAAGAAGAAGATAAAGATATAGAGGTTTCTTTGTAATCTCTCTTCTCTCTCTAGAAACTCACCCTCTTCTCTTGGGTTTAAGAACCCTAGGTTTAGATTTGGGTTTAATGTTGATGTATGTGACAAACTCCATGATTGATTGATGATTTTACTTAATTTATGGATGTTTTCATGAATGGCATGAGTTGGGTTTCCATTTTCATGTATTGAGCTTTTGACCTAGGAGGGAGATAATCCCCTTAGAGCCCCCCTTTTGGCGTCTTCGGGTCACTCCTATTTGTATACTGTCCGGTTAGTCCCCGAGGGAGTTGATTCGACCGGTCTCCTAGCATTATACGAAATCCTAGGTTGAATAGAGCACTACCCATCCATCGATTCGCCGTTCTAGGTCATTCCCGAGGGAGTCCATCTCCAAACGGTAGTGTAGTTGAGTCGATTGAGCTAGGAGGATACCCAACTTCGATCCAAAGAACAGACCTAGGACGATACAACCCAAGAGAGCTCCCTATCTTGTAAATAGCTAGGTTAGTGGTTAGTCTAAGTTAGTTAGTTTAATTCTATCAATCACTATCCTAGGTTGGATAGATAACGAACCCTAAACCTGAAGTAGGGTAAGCCTAAATCCCCGTGGTACGACAAATTCTTATTGCTTGCTTGCCCTATGCTACACCCGGTCGGCGGTTATACTTAGTCGTCGATCAGAATGTTGTAGTTAGAACGAGTCATTTATCTTATTACTTTCTTCTTTTGTCCTACTCAGATTCATAGGGGAAGGGGCTCACTTTTGGCTACATGGCAATTATTGTGTTACCCATCTTCTAATAGGGGATGTAGATCTTTTTTAAATCCTTCAACAGTCCTAGATTGGGCTATGTTTGTTCCTTTTCAGGGTTGTTGGGGCTTTAGATTGTATACCAAGACTTCTCACAGCGTGCGCTACTTTCACTGGCATATCCTCCTCAAGTCCCCTATGGGCGCCAATGGCATTTTTGTGTTTGTTCATTTTGTAGGTGTAGCTGCTTATAGGGCTGCCCATTTGTGGCTAAAAACGTCATTTCATCGATAGTTCGACTATTTGTCGACTATTGCACGGTGTTTTTTTCCTGTTATTTGACCATGTATGAGTCGGCGATTTACCTGACCATTGTCCATGTAATAAAAAAAACCAAACTAAAATTTTAGTAAAAAGGTTAAAGACTCAACTTTTTTTTTTTTGGTAGAAAGACTCAACTTATTTGAAACGAGTGAGACAACACAAAATTTAACCTTGGCGCATTTACTGCGGTAGTTGTAGATGCACTAAAATGAACCATAATCAGAAAGCAAAACCAAGAAACAAAAAGCGGAATCATTCCACCACCATCTGACTTCATTTCCCCAGCGAAACAAAGAAATCCATCCTCAGACTCTCTCTCCGCCATCTCCCTCTCCACGACCATAGCCTGCTAGCTAAACCCCTCCTCTGTTTGTATCAGTTTCCCATTCCTCCAACCCCGATGTCAACTAACCCCGCTTCTCCCCCAACCGACCCTCCAGCCAGTATCCTCCACGCGCCGCTTCTTCACTCACAGCATGACTCTCCAAATTCCTCCTCCTCGCCTCCGTCTCCCATCGATGGCCGCTCCACTTCGCTGGCGGTTCTGCTCGGCCGGGCCACGGGAAGGCGCGGTCCTTCCCTCCTTGTCAGGGAATCGGCCGCGCGTGAGCTCGAGGAGCGACGCGTCGACTGGGGCTACTCCAAGCCGGTTGTCGCCGTCGACATGCTATGGAACATTGCCTTCGTCTTGGCGTCATTCACGATGTTGATGTTGACCACCAAGGAGAGGCCTAACACGCCGATCAGGGTTTGGATCTGCGGCTACGCTCTTCAGTGCTTGGTCCACGTGGTGCTGGTGTGGCTGGAGTATCGGAGGAGGAACGGCTCCGGCAGGGCGGCGTCTAGTGATGGTGATCGTAGGCGCCGGCAGGAGGAAGTGGATGGTGGGAGCTTGGATAGTGAAGATGACGATGGGACTGATCGGCCTTCCTTCACTACCAGGTTATTTGGACCTCATTCCTTTGGTGGTTGGCTTTCGTCTCGATTTTGATTGTGATTGAATTTCGGTAATTTTGTTGGTTAGCAATATCATTTTTTAACTATAGAGATGGAATTCGAATTCGAAGAGTCAAATTTGAATTTCTAAGAGAATGGACAGTAATGACTTCTTCAAGGGTGATCATTGATGGAACTGCCCAGTAATTGTCTATTTTGCCATGTTGGAACAAAATTTGCTTAGGAGGACTTGTCCATCGATTTGTATTATTACTCTGTAATTTCCGAGTAGATGGACCATGGTGTTTCCTTTATGTGCTGTGGGGGCAAAGTTTAGCTTAGTAATAAAATCAAGCACTTCACTGACATTCATATCTATTTTGAGTAACATTGGGTTTTTACCCGGTATAAATGGGTTGTAAATTGTGATGCTAGCCTCTTGCTGATTGTTTGAATGGATTGATTCCTTAGTTTTGTGAAACGATGCGAGTCAGTGAATACAATGGCATCATTTGTGTGGTGGATCGTCGGCTTTTATTGGGTGGTCTCTGGGGGCGATCTCCTGTTGCAGACTGCTCCTCGCTTGTACTGGTAAGAATTCTGCTTCAACTTGTTTTTGTCGTAGGTGCTGATCAGGAGAATTAGTCCTACTCTTTTTGAAACCCTGCTTTGGGTTGCTGATTTAAGCCCTTATCTGCTCTGGTTATAATTTTTTTCTTGCAGGTTGGCTGTGGTCTTTCTGGCATTTGATGTGTTCTTTGCAATCTTCTGTGTTGTCCTGGCATGCTTGATTGGCATTGCTCTTTGTTGCTGCTTGCCATGCATCATAGCAATTCTTTATGCTGTAGCAGGACAGGTACAGGCTCAATAATCTTTTTTTTTTGTTATTACTGAATTCACTACCTTTTAATCACTCATAGATATTATTGTTGTTGTTGTTGTTAATTTTTTTCTTCTCTGAGTGAATAACTGGGCATTGTTGGCTGTTATCACATTTGTGGTTATCTAGGAAGGTGCATCAGATGCCGACCTCGGTCTCCTCCCTAAATACAGATTCCAGATGTTGAACAATGCTGAGAAACTCAATTCTGAGGCAGGGAAAATGGTTCCAGTTGAGACTAGCAGCCTATACGTAGCACAGGAGCGGATGCTACTGCCTGAAGATGCTGTAAGCTGTTTTTTTCCAAATTGATAGAATCTCTCTCTTCTAACAATTTCTTCAATCTAAACGTTGCCTTTACCCGTGCCCATTCAGTTGCCTTTTTTTTGTGACACCTTTTCTGTTTTTAGTTCCCCTTGTTTTCTGATCTTTAGACCCTTTTTCTTTGACAATAGTACTTGCAATCTATTCCATGCTTTACTGAGTGCAGAAGTGGAAACTCCCCACAGAGTTTCCCTTCTGATTACAATGTTTTGATGATTGTCAATTTGCCATTGTTTGGGTTTTGGTAGATGACTAAGTGAAGAGGAAATATGAGAATATGGTTTTTGTTTGAGATTGATCGAAATTTTAGAGAACGATAGAATAAGGAGAGAGGGGGGGGGGGGGGGGGGGGGGGGGGGGTAAAAGTTGCCTCTCCGATCCAGGAGCAGTACTTTGCTTTAGAATCCACTCAAGGAAGTACCGATTGGAATACCGAAATACCGATTGGGATACCGAAGTACCGATTGGAATACCGAAGTACCGATTGGGATACCGGAATATTTAGAGATTGGGATTGAGATACCGAAATTATTTAGGGATTGAGATTGTGATTGACTTTCGGATATAATTCAGTATTCGGGATTTCGGGATTTGGTATTGGGATACCGATACCATACCGATTTCCACTCCTGCTAGTGATCGAGCAGAGTTACAGTTAGAGTTAGTAGCAAAAATAGAATAAAGATTGAACTTTGCCCGGTGATATTGGGTGTGGGAAGTTGAAGTAAAAGGGGGTTTGCATAATATGGATCTGTGTTCCTTTTCTCTCCTTTGGAGATGAATGGTTATTCCAGACATGATTTACTAAGTAATCTATTGCTTCTTTTCAGGAATGCTGCATATGTCTGACATCTTATGATGATGGAGCGGAGCTTCATACCCTACCATGCAACCATCATTTCGATTCCAGCTGCATTATAAGATGGCTTAAGATGAATGCAACTTGTCCTCTCTGCAAGTACAACATTCTGAAAGGAAACGAGCAGGTATAAATTCATAAGTGACAGAAGGAATTCTGAGAATGAGCCAGCCACCGCAACTTTGTTCCAGCCAAGGCTCCGGGGGAGCAAAGCAATCGGTTGTAAATAGAGAACCCGCAGTTAAAGATGATATAGTGTATTCTTGCTTATAGCTCGTAGCCTGGAGGGGTTTATTGTGTCATGTCTTAGTTCTTTGTCATCCAATAATTTGCTATTAGTGTTTTCAAACTCTTTTTTCAGCTTTGCCTTATCTGAACATTTAGGACGAGTCCCCGGAGACTGTTCTGGAAGTTTAATTGAGTATGTTCGAGCTTTGTAATATGTTTACTAGTTGATGTGACCAAAGCAGCTATAAGATTTTTTATGATTTTCTTGATGCCGCCTTTCTTGAATTCGAAAATTAAATAAAGGATAGGATGTAATCAATTGGACAAATCCAACCGTGATGAAGGGCAATTGGTATATTAAACCAATTGGACAACACCAACTCGTGGAAAAGGGTAATTGATAATGGTGACGCTCGCTTCAAATATATGTGTTCTCTAGTTGATAAGAGACGTGAAACTCCTGGAGACTCTCGATAGAAGCTTGCACAAAATATTCCTATGGAACTTGAGTAAAACTCTTGAATTAATTGATAAAAGTTGATGATTGACAAGCTAGAACTTGGCCCTATTTATGGACTATCTAAAACAATTCCAAAACAAACAAAGAGGGACTTTTGTGCCATATGATGGGCAGCCCTATTGAGTTGACGAGAAACAAAACAGTAAGAAACCCTGTTAAACGAAGAAGGCAAACTCCGAGCGTCCTCCAAAATAGCTCCACCACGATCATGATGCAGATCACCTCCAATCTCTTTCCTCATGTGCACCCATAGGCAATCTCCAGCTTCAAATGATCAAGGCTTTCTACCTTTGTTGGTGTGCTTCATCATCTGCTTTGTCCTTCTACCAATATTCAACCTCATCTTCTCATGGAGAGTCTTCACAAAATTGAGCCTTCTTTGCTCCATCCATATTAACTTGTTCCTTCAACGGTAAAAGTGTAAAATCCAAGGGGTAAGTGGATTGAACCCATACATGAGTTCAAAAGGTGAGTGCTTTGTGGTCGAATGTACAACCCTGTTGTAAGCAAACTCGACATGTGGTAGGCAGTCTTGCCAAGTTTTGATATTGTTCTTGATCACGGCTCGCAACATTTGGAAAAGAGTACGATTCACCACTTCAGTTTGTCTATCTGTTTGATGATGCCAAGTCGTAGAAAACAAAAGCTTCATGCCTAGTTTGCTCCACGATGTCTTCCAAAAATAGCTCAAGAACCTTTGCATTGAAAATCCATAATCTAAAAACGTAGATGACAAAGTTATAAAACAACCAATAAAACAAAGTTAAAAAAAAAAACTTTGAGAAAAAAACCTAATAAGCAATTTGAAGATCCATCTTCTAAACAAATAACAATCTAATTGTTCAACCCTTTCCAATTATATATTTCATAGGCTTTGTTCAAGTGGCTATTGGTGTTGTGTGGCAAGAGTTTGGTGCATTACATATACATATACTATGTTATAACATGTTTCTGCTCCGCTACATATTACACTTGGATTTTTAGTTTGACGATGCCTTGCAACAAAGCCAAGGATGTTAAAAAAATGCCACAAATTGGGTGATTTGCATGTTGGTAGAGAAATTAGGAAAATGAATGAGAAAGTGACGCTAAATAATATCTATTGAGGTAATTTAGTTAATAAATAGGGATAATGATGTCATTATATTATAATTATTAAAATACTTTTAGAATTCATTTATAAATTTCAACTAACATTGCCCTTACTAGTTACAATTTCTTAGAATTCAAATTTTAGAATGGAAAATGAATTCTTTTAAATACCAAGCAAAAAGATTTCATTTCAAAATAATTTTAAAAAACTTATGAAATACATTTATACCAAACAACAATGTTAGATTTCATTTCAAAACAATTTAGACAGAAGAATTAAATATCAAAATCTACGGTGAAAAAGTGGCAAGAAAATTATTCACAAAAAGAAAAAAATATCACTTAAAAATCGCAAATCACCCAATGATTTCCAGGAATCATAGTTAGTAAATACTTTGTTTAATACACGTACATATACCCGTACGTATTGTATCCGTTTAAAACTTCCATATTCGTATTATTGTCAAGCCGTTTCATTTTCTCTCGTTCATTTGATGGCTCCCGTACTAAACACGTATAAACCCCGTATAACACGTTTAATATCCGTATTTAATAAATTAAACTATTTTTTTATGGTTAAATCAAAATTTTTATGAAGAACAGGCATAAAGCCTCTCAAACAAGCTGTACAACCATCAAGAAGAGCAACAAAAAAAACCCCTATAATCTCAGCCCTATCACATCCAAACTTTGGCCTAGTAGGTCTACACTCGCAGCTCTATACATCAGAATCTGCAGAACATCTTTACTGACAATATCGGGGGATTTCACTGCTTTTGTACCATACAACCTAGAGCAGCGCTCACGCCAAATAAGGCTGATCACCAAGCTCCAAACTGCACAACCAACAACAGTAGAAAGCGATTTCCCTCGCCACCTTTGAACTCCCCAGGTCAACATATCATCTCATTCTAGCAAGGTTTGCGGGGGAGCAAGACTTCTCAAACATCGACGCCACACAGACTGTGTGAATGAAGACGCACGAAAAAGATGAGATCGGGATTCAACCCCACCTGGGCACAAAACACACATACCTGAAACAGGCAACCCCCAACGACTGAGCTTATCTTGAGTTATCATTCTGTCCATAATAGCCAACCACAGAATAAACCATGCGTAGGTACAATTTCTCAGCTCCACACCAACTGGTACCAATCAACTTCTGGATCATGAGGCCTTAACGACTCCCATACTCGCTTCACTGAAAATTTCTCCATGGGAATTCCATCCCATTGTAATGAATCTCCCTGCCCTGAAACATGTGGAAACATCACAGTTCTGCACTTTAGGATCTTCCGCCATAGCCACGAGCAAGGAGTTGCTGGCTTTAGAGTCCACACATTGTTGCTTCACCTTGTACATTAATATCCATGTAACCCAAAGTGATCCGCTTAATGTCAGGATGTTCCATAAATGCCTAATTACACAGGCTTTGTTCCATATGCTAAAACTTCTTATGCCAAGTCCTCCCTCCTTAGGACGAGCTATTAAATGCCAGGCCACCTTCGACCTCTGGCCAGACTCGTTCACATCCCAGAGAAAAGTATTACAAATCTTCTCCACCTCCACAATGACATACTTGGGGAGCAAGAAAAGATTCATCCAGAACTGAACAAGGCTAGTGAGAACAGAGGAGATCAACTGAACACGACATGCGAAGCTTAACAATCTGGCCCTCTAGCTTTAAACACGAGAAGTGATCTTGTCAATCAACACCCTACTATACCTCCTTGTCAACGTCCTTGTTAGAAGAGGGACCCCGAGATACCTAACCGACAAAGAATCAAGAGGGAAATTCGTATAATCTGAAATCACCCTCTTTTTCAGCATCTGGAATTCCATCACAATATAACTGACACTTACTTGGATTCACCCTTAGCCCCGAAACCAAATAGAACTCATCCAGTAGACGACGAATTCCAGCAACAACCCTTATAGACCCATTTGAGAATACTAGGAGATCATCCGCAAAACATAAATGAGTAATCCCAAGAGCTTTACATCTAGGATGAAAGGGGATGGAATTATTTGCAACTGCTCACCTAATCAACGCATCAAAGATCTCCATTGCTATAGTAAAAAGGTAAGGGGAAAAAGGATCCCCTGCCTTAACCCTTTTTTCATCTCAAAATAGCCACATAGTCCACCATTCATAGCAACACTGACCATAGGAGTACTAACACATAGTTCAAGAATTTTTCCAGTAAACCCCACAGCTTGTAAAGTGGAAAACAAAAAATATCAGTTCAATGAGTCAAATGCTTTCATAATGTCCACCTTTAATGCAACCGAGAACTAATAGACACCTTATGATAGTCTCGTACTAATTCAGACGCTAAAAGAATATTATCACTAATTGCTCGACCTCTGATAAAAGCATATTGAGAAGTGCTTACCAGTTTAGGGAGAACCTCAACAATCCTACAAGCCAGAATTCGCGAAATGCCCTTATAGATCGTATTACAACAAGCAATTGGTCTGAAATCTTTCATCTGAACAGCATTCTGAACCTTGTCTACCATTGTGAAGATTGTTGCATTAACTTGTCGAGGCATGACCCCTGATTGAAAAAACTGCATAACAACCCTCTCCACATTAGCTTTGATTAGATCCCAATGCAACAGAAAGAATTATGCAGGGAAACCATCAGGCCCTGTAGCCTTATCCCTGCCAAGTCTTCGAAAAGAACTAGTGACTCGCTAAAACACAACTCCTAACAATGGCCAAGTGTAACCAATGAAAGGGACTGCAGTATAGTGGCTCAAGTAATAAATATCGAATCCACGGGTCTCTAGAGTTACTATTACTCAGCTTCAGTTCATTATCTAGCAAAACAGATCAAGATGAAAGAACTAAAACTACTCTAGAAAACTACAGTTAAAGTTAATCTAATTACAGGTTGGGAAATCACTTAGGTATGATTCCCCCTAGCCACTAGCCAGATTAACGATCGATGATTTCTAACTTGTTTCACTTCATTCACAATGCGGAGAATCCTTGACTAGACCTTGAGTCTCGACTAAAGGAACAAGGCCCTCTTGAGTCAATTGCCTAGAGGGACGTATCCTTCTCTAGAACAATCGATCAAGGCGTTCTGAACTAGACTCCCTCTATCGAATGAGGTTCTCAATCGATACAAAGCAGTGAATCAACCCTCGACTAAAGCAATCGATCCACTACTATCAATCTATGGTGCTCTATTGACCTAATCAGGTATTCGCTCTCATAGGATCAAAGCAGAATCAATAATCTCGACTAAAGCAGAATTGAATCGTGAAAACATGCATAGATTGAATATGAACTCAAGATTATCAAGTCAGAGTACTCATACAATCATCCAATCAAACAAACATAGCTAGGGTTCCTCAAAACCTAAGTGAAGGGAAGTTACTCCATAGAGAAGAGAGAGACTGCAGTAAGAATCTTCAGATGATCAGTCTTCAAGTCCGGGCTTGATTCCCGAGCTCCAATGGCGAAGAAATCCTCCAAAATAGCTCCAAGAATGTTCCCAAGTCGCTCTCTCTCTCTAGGGTTCGTCCCTTGGGTGTTTGGGATCCAAAACCCAGCTCTCTCCCTTCCTTTGGCTGAAAATCGGGTTTTAAACAGCAATTCCCGACTCGCACGGCCAGGGTGCACGGCCGTGCACATCACCATTCTGGCCGTGCACTCCAAAACGCG